TGCGCGCTCGCGAGGAGTTCCCGTTATCGCGAACGGCTATGAATCAGATTCGCGAGTCAGCACCACCGCACCCACATCCCCACACTCCCCCCCCCACATCCCACACTCCCCCCCCACATCCCACACTCCCCCCCCACATCCCACACTCCCCCCCCACATCCCACACTCCCCCCCCACATCCCACACTCCCCCCCCACATCCCACACTCCCCCCCCCACATCCCACACTCCCCCCCCACATCCCACACTCCCCCCCCCCACATCCCAAACTCACCCCCCCCCATCCCACACCCCTCCCATCCCACACTATAACCCCCCCATCCCACACTATACCCCCCCCATCCCACACCCCCCCATCCCACACTATACCCCCCCCATCCCACACTAGACCCCCCCCATCCCACACTATACCCCCCCATCCCACACTATACCCCCCCCATCCCACACTAGACCCCCCCCATCCCACACTATACCCCCCCCCATCCCACACTATACCCCCCCCATCCCACACTATACCCCCCCATCCCACACTATACCCCCCCATCCCACACCCCCCCATCCCACACTATACCCCCCCCATCCCACACTATACCCCCCCATCCCACACTATACCCCCCCATCCCACACTATACCCCCCCATCCCACACCCCATCCCACACTATACCCCCCCATCCCACACTATACCCCCCCCATCCCACACCCCATCCCACACTATAACCCCCCCATCCCACACCCCATCCCACACTATACCCCCCCATCCCACACTATACCCCCCCCATCCCACACTATACCCCCCCCCATCCCACACTATACCCCCCCCATCCCACACCCCATCCCACACTATACCCCCCCATCCCACACTATACCCCCCCCCATCCCACACTAGACCCCCCCCATCCCACACTATACCCCCCCCATCCCACACTATACCCCCCCATCCCACACTATACCCCCCCCATCCCACACCCCCCCATCCCACACTATACCCCCCCATCCCACACCCCCCCATCCCACACTATACCCCCCATCCCACACTATACACCCCCCATCCCACACTATACCCCCCCCATCCCACACTATACCCCCCCATCCCACACTATACCCCCCCATCCCACACTATACCCCCCCATCCCACACCCCATCCCACACTATACCCCCCCCCCCCATCCCACACTATACCCCTCCATCCCACACCCCATCCCACACTATACCCCCCCATCCCACACTATACCCCCCCCCATCCCACACTATACCCCCCCCCCATCCCACACTATACCCCCCCCCATCCCACACTATACCCCCCCCCTTCCCACACTATACCCCCCGCCACCAACCACCATCAACGCCCGACATAAATCGCCACTCAAAAACCAGCATTCACAATCGCCAACGCTCACCACCACCAGCTGCTTCTGTCTTGCCTAGACTGTACCGGACTGTTTTAACTGGTCAGATTTGGTCGTGCGCTATGAAGAAGGGCCATTGCTCGAAACGTCGCCGATTATATATGATTTTTTTGGTCCTCTTAAGGCCACAGTGTTGTTGACGAGCGAGACGAGAGCTTTTGCTTGTTGTTGTTGTTCATGCTCGCGCATTCGCGGCCAGCAGCAGTAGCAGCGTCACCAAATCATCTCCGTTACATTTTCTTAATCTCCAATCACTTCCTCTTCGCCGAGTGATCATCTCAAATTCCCCCCCCCCCCCCCCCCCCCCCATTGCCGTGTTCTGGCACCTCTAGATGCATCAACGCGGAGCGGTATAAATAATAAACGATGGTGATGGTGGCGATGACGATTCTATCTCCCCCGCCCCACCAATACGACCATCCCCCCAACCACAACATCACTCACCGTTGTCTCGCGCGAGAGCGAGTGCCCCCTATAAACATGAGATGCAGCTCCCCCCCCCCCCCGAATTAATTTAAACTCCCCTCTAATGATTAAAACACCATCCTATAATTCATAATTATCACACCCCCCTCCACCCCCGTCAAATAATTATTCTCACCACCCCCCCCCCCCCCCACAATCTTACACTTGCCCTCGACAATTGCCACTACCTGTGCGTGACAACGAAGAGTCTCCGTGAGCCCCATCCCCACGACGACCGCGTCACAGCGTAGCGCGTCCGGGCTACTGCCGGGGGGGGGCCGGGGGGGGGGCCGGGGGGGGCCGGGGGGGGCAGGCGGGGGGGACGGGGGGGGGGGGGCGGGGGGTGTCGGTCGGCAGCCCGCGGCTCCGGAACAGCGTGCGGCTCTTTCCGGATTGCTTCGGTGACGCAATGTAAGAGCGTCACGCAATGTTCCCACGTTGCATTTGCAGGCTCTAGGAAAAAAATTAAGCTTCGTGTACCGAATTCGGAATTTGTTACAAAACAAACACCCACAATGGCTCTTTCTTGTTATTTTGGTGAGCTATTGCGTGACCAAATCCAGGAGGGGGCAGGAACGCCGGGCTACAAGCGCAGGGCACGGCCGTCACGATCCCAACACAGTCGTCAGGCTCACGACAACAGCGACGTAAAACACACACACACGACTCGCATGGTGATAGAACAAAGATACACCCCCCCCCCGTATATATCCTGAACACGACTGATGGGGCAAATTATGTTAGCGAGTATGACCTCTCAAGGCCTGCACCGGCACACGAGAGGGTGGGTGGCCACCACCACGCCCGGCCGCCTTTGTCTCCCCAGTGGCGATGTTAACACCGCACCAGGTACTCATTTGAGGCCGAGTCGACCAAGGGGAGGCCCAGAACTGGTTCAGATAATTCAGAATGTGTATTTGGACTGGAGGAATCCGATTAACTATAAAGATCTTATTAACAGATGGTCCAGTCGGGGCGAGTAAGAACTTTACAACAAACAGTACAAAAACACGAGAGGAGTGTAAATACCAGGTAAACAAATCACCCAAACACAGAAACAACACTAAACTATCCCCATCCTACCAGACAAAGCCCACTTAGGTATTAACCGATTTGTTCAAAAGCGACCTGGCCATAAATGAGAGCTCAAAAATGTGGCTTTATCATTTGTCACTGCTGTTGCCCCTGAACGGGAATTGAAAAACACAACAGCCGCCATTCGCAACAAAGCGGGGTCACCACAGCGCTTGTGCCAGGCTAGGTTCACTCAGAGGCCAAGTGAAGTGTCGAACGCCACCTGGCATTAGTTCACGAGACAGACCCAGGTGCGCAATTAATCGACTGACTGAGATGACTGCCCGATGCATCACCTGTGCCCTTCCCCCCCACCGTGAAAACTTGCTGCGTTTTATCCACCCGGCGCTCCACTCGTTGTGAACGCCGCTCCTCAGAGGCCCTCCGTCGTTGTTGCTGGGATGGCGACTGCCTTCCACCTGCCCAGCAGCGGCAAGCGGCAGCGTCCTCCACGAGCCTCCTCCACCCGCACACTCCACGCGCTCCTTGCCAATCCGCAGGAACATCGCGACATCACACACACACGTGTGTGTGATGATGCGATGTGGACCACCTGTCAAGATCCACCCGCTCCCAACATCCCATCCCCCCAGAATCTATATTTGGCATTGCCTTTTAACTCGCCTGCGTTTCGTGCAGCGCGGACTAAACTAAAATGTAACAAATGACACGGGGCTTGGTGAAGCGACAACCACCCCGCCACTCAACGCGGAGTATTTGTCGAGATGGCCAAAAAGGTACAACCCACGCCCGGCCGCCTTTGTCTCCCCGGTGCCGATGTTTGACGCGCACCGCAACACGGTGCTCGTGTTCTGTGCGCCGCGTCCTCATTAGCGGTAACCAACAGAACCGTTTCCAGATCACAATCGCAGACGTTGAACCGCGGGCAGGAATCGAACTCGTGCGACCCCAAGTTCCGCAGTGCGCTAACCCCACACACCCTGCGTCACTGCAGTACAAGGCAACCCCCCTCCATCCCTTCCCGCCTCTCATTAAAACACCGTAAATGTCTGTTATATAGACTTATATAGACTGTGATATAGACTGTTGGGAGGAGACGCCGTGAACCCACTGCCGTACACACACACACAAGATAAAGATCCCCCGTAGAGACTTAACAGACTCTTGGCGGCAAGTGCTGTTAGCGAGTAGCACCTACGATGGGCCGGCACGGCACACGATGGGGATGGGTGGCCAACGCCACGCCCGGCCGCCTTTGTCTCCCCAGTGGCCATGTTCACACACCGCACCAGGTTACTCATTTGATGCCGAGTCGACCTAGAGGACGCCCAGGACCGGTTCAGACAATCGTCACTGGGTGTTGGCCGTGAGCGGGAATCGAACTCGGGACGCCGGGTCCGCAGCGCAGCGCTAACCGCTACATCACCGCACACAAAGTCAACATCCACACGGGAGTAACCCAAACCTATCCGGGAGACGTCAACCTCGCTTTCATCCAGCAGTCGATTGATCATGGCTGACGAGTACATAACACGTCAACACGAGACGGCTATTCCCGTGGCTCTACGTGATACAAGCCACTATTATATATAGGGTGGAGCGGTGGCGCAGTGGTTAGCGCACTGCGCTACGATTAGCGTGGCCGTCTACAGTAGCAAAGGTTTCAATTCCCAGCCACGGCTAACATCAGTGGCGAGTGGACAGCCCCCCCGCCCCGCCACAAATCTTCACGAACCGGCACCGACCAGAGTGGCGAAGTATGGCCGAACGATACGACGAGAGCTCTTGCCTTCATCCAGCAGTGGATGAACAACAGAGGGCTGGGTGCGTTGGCCGGCGTGGAGAAGTATGGGTTACATAACAGACACGAACCACGGCGGCCGTGGCTAAGACCCCCCCCCCCACCACACATCCCCCCACCACCACCACTCATCCAGCAGTGGACTGACAAAATGGACTGTAGCAGTAGCGACGAACGCGCGCTAACGATGCCGGCAGCTCCGGCCGACGCACGCACGCGCAGCCAGGCCGGGCCGGCGTGTTGGAGGAGTCCGCAGCCCCCCAGGTGTGGGTGGCGAGGGGGGGGGGGTCTCACCTGGTGGCCGGTAGCTCGGGTTAAGTGACCGGTGGCGCCCGGACCGGACACCACCACCACCACCACCCCCCACCCCACACCCGACCGACCGACTGCCCGGGCGGCTGCCGGTCTTTGTCCAACGCGCGCAACGCCGTGACCGAGACGAAGCAGCGTTCGGTCCCGGTGGGCGGCCCGCTTTTAAATAAACCGGCGCTGGCAGCGCGGTACCGACGTTTCGGGGTGGGTGGGTGGGTGGAGGCGGTGTGGGGGGTAGTGGGGCGAGGTAGTGGGGGGGGGGTGAAGTTTAGCGATTTCGTGGCGTGGAGCGACGCGTGGACGCGAGAGAGGCAACCGGAATGCCGGGGACGAGCGGCTGAATGAGTAAAGCGGGAGAGGAGGGAGGAGCCGGCGTGGGCTGTGTGTGTGTGTGCGGTGTGTGTGGGGGCGGGTGAAGGGGATTGCCCGGGCTCCCGCCGCCGGTTTTCTCCGGTTCTGTCCGCCCGGTGCGGCTCTCCTCGGCTCCGTTCGCGCACGCGCGCGGGGGTGCCGGGAGGCGGCGGTGGCGGCGGTGGCGGCGGCTGCGGCCACCGCGGCCGCCTCCGCCCCCTAGCGGCCGCGGTGGCCGCTGCGGGCTGAGGCCAAACAGCTCGCAGCCCTGCCGGGCGATCTGCGTTCCGTGACGGGAGTGTGACACCACTCCGAGCTGGACGTGCGTGCCACCCCCCCCCGCCACCACACGCTGTATATTTGACCCATGCTGTCTGTGCGCATGAACAGAAATACTGGAGCGTACATATGAACAATGCACAGGGGGCCTTATGTATAGGCAGGACTACGGAACACGAGAACAGGACAGGACCGTACAGTTTTTATTTGAAGCTTTCGTGACTGCAGGAATCCATACTCTTTGGTTCTTTCGGTAAAGTCAACTGATGACGGACGCTGGTGTTGCGCCCGAAACGTCGTGATTTATTTTATTTTATACCTACGTGACTTTACCGAAATAACCAAAGAGTAAGGACCGTACAGTATATGAACAATACACGTTGACACTGTTTTGGAGCACTATACAGTGTTGTATATGAACAGTACTAGTGGACCGTATCTCTAAAGTATACACGTGAACCCTACATAGAAGCCCTATATATGTGAACAGGACAAATGAACCATCTATTGTTGCCATATGCAGAACATATGATCAGTACAACTGGAACTTATATGCCAACTATACACGTGGGCCCTATTTTGGAAGTCTATGTACGAACAGTCGGAACGGAACAATACTGATGATCATATACGCCAACAATACAAATCAACTCTGCGCATTGGAGGAATTCAACTTAACCATATCGGTGAACGATATATACAGTGGCGTTGTGGCGACATCATCAGCTCAGGGGGTGCTGCAAATGAGACGGGTGGGGTTCCCAATATTAGATTTATCTCGCACGGTCGGGCTTATTCATCGACATCGTCGCTACGCTGACGGTCTCGAAGATTTAACGCTGTAGGGGGCGCCCCCCCCCCCCCCCCCGTCTTCGCAAACAATGCAGCAACAACGGCTCCTGACTACGTCGTCCTTGCAATATAATTAACGCGGATCTCACGAAGTCAATTCTTCCCAGAAATTGAATTGTACGACCGATGCGCTTTTACTCAAGTTACTGTCGTTCAGAGCAAACTATATAACGTTTCTTTGCGGTAAAGAGGGTATTAGTTTCAATAATAAATATCTGAATAGCTACGCTAGAGTTACACTGGCGTATACATTAGCAACCCCAAGGTTCGAGTTGCCAAACGTCAGCCTCGAAACCTTAATGACTTGGAGAAGATCTGCAAAGAGGAGTGGGACAAAATCCCTCCTGAGATGTGTGCAAACCTGGGCCAACTACAAGAAACGTCTGACCTTTGTGATTGCCAACAAGAATTTGCCACCAAGCACTAAGTCATGTTTTGCAGAGGGGTCAAATAATGTTTTCCCTCATTAAAATTCAAATCAATTTATAACATTTTTGACATGCGTTTTTCTGGATTTTTTGTTGTTATTCTGTCTCTCACTGTTCAAATAAACCTACCATTAAAATTATAGACTGATCATTTACTTGTCAGTGGGCAAACGTACAAAATCAGCAGGGGATCAAATACTTTTTTTCCCTCACTGTTATCACCACACTCTACCATCATCACAACCATCACCAACACAACCATCACTATATCCACAATAGTCAACAAATTCACCATACTCGTCAACAACAATCGGCGACGTTTCGGGAAACGCTCCTTCGTGCTATTGAGTTTTGTATATATGTAATCGGTCATCATCAGTTCTGCTCAATCCACTGCTGGATGGAATACCCCCCTCCCCTCCCCCAAGCTATTCAGCGTCTCTTGCGATGTAACAGCCTGCTTGCTATGCAGGTTGCTGTGTGTGGATTGATGCATCGATGAGACTCAGCACGAGCTGAGTGCCTTCGTTCTCATGTCTCCCCGTGATTTATGGTGGACGTTCCTCTCAGCCGTGTTCCCACCTCTGACTCGAATTAACAACACGCGAAATGTACTGTGCAGCATTGCACATGGTGGCTCAGATGTCTTGTGACCCGCGATTAATTGACCCCAGACATTTTTTTTTGCCCCTTTTCATATTAATTTATGTTTGAAATAAACATTACTTTGAAACATATTATGTTGTCGATAAATAAATCGGGGTCAGAGGACATCTGGACCACCATGTACAGCATGTACAAAAATAGTTGTCAGCCTTGTCTAGACCGCCAGCTCAACAGCACTGAACGTGTGTGGCCATTTAGTCGCTTAGAACCACTCACTCAAGAGAGTTGAAAACTCGCAGCCATCTCGGCAGCAGGCGAAACAAGGACGCGACAGCAAACCTGTTTCATCCTCACTGGGACTCATCAGTACAGGTGCAGTCATTATTGGGTTCCTCCTGTGCTGCCACTCCGTTCTTGGTTTCTACCAAAGGTCACACAGCATCCCGTCGCCGATCGACTTGTCACAATCTTAAAACCTGCACGGTATTTTTAGCGTTGTGTGCGATACAGGAACGTATCTTGATTTTCTGGTGACTCTTAGAGTTATGCGTCCCCCCGCCAGGCACGCGTGCTCTCCGCTACTGCCCGGGCATCTTTCCACCCCTATGTTTATGATGATCGCACTGCGTGTCTGGCAATGGAGGCTCTGCAGGTATTTACAAAGACAAAGTCTCCCCCCCCGCCCGTATAGCCTTTAACAGACTGTTAGGGCAAGTGCTGTTAGCGAGCACTACCTACGAAGGTCGGTACGGCACATGGAGGGAGAAGGGGGGTGATCATAGGAACTGTGAATTACCCACTGCTGCACGAGCAGACTCACTCGCAGTGATATCAACCAACCACCTTATAAAACGTTAATTTCCCTTCATCAGGCAAAATACATTGGCAAAGGGTTGTACATTATTAATGCTGTACACGGCGTACACAAAACTCATGCCTCTTGTACCACTGCATTTGTATCCATTAGCGCTGGAGAATGCCATTGAATCTGGACTGGCTGCTCCACGTTACATATATCCATGCCACAAAAGACTGTTAGGTTAAAAGAAAAGAGGTGTGCGTATTCCCACCTATTTTAAAACTTCTCGCCGGCTTGGAGAGTATGCAAAAGACGCGCTCTCTCTCTCGTTCTCGAGAGAGAGATTACTCGTGCAGTCATACCCCGGTTTACGTCGGGGATGCGTTCCTGGAAATGCGCGACGAATATCGAAACGACGTAAATCAAAAGCCAATTGCAGCGCGGGTAGAGGCGAAGGCTGAGACAGGACGGACGCTGCTGGTCAGCGACGTGAGTGTGGGTTCGAGGCGACGTAAATCAGGTCGTGGTACAGTAATGATGAAGTCACGACGACGTATTTGCGGAACGACGTAAATCGGGGTATTACTGTACCACAGCTGTCAAAACCCACACGGTTTACCCGGTATTCTTGAACATGCGAATTGAGTTTTCTGGCCCACACGGCGTACAGCAATTTCAATATGGGTAAAAAAATATGTTTGTATGTTTGTGTTTCTCCCTTGTGATGGGACTTTGTGGGATGAACGTTGAGATTTATCAGGGACACGGGTGACCAATAGGGTCTGAGTTTGTCTGTAGTAAGAAGGTAGGGCACTGATAATGGGTTGACAGGCTTGCTGTACGAATACTGTCATAACAACTGCATTGTCTGTGGCGCTGTGACTTGGCAAAGCCCATATACCCGGGCGCCGCCAGCAGTGTGTATGAGCAGGAAGCTGCAGGGACTGCACCTTTAACTTGTGACACTGTTCACTCCCACTCCAAAACTCAAGGTTGGCCGGTCCCATTAATAATGCAAGTTCAACTTTGCCCATGGCACATGTACAAATCAATAGCTGTTGCTGGTGCTGCGTTAGCTTCGGTGCACGAGTGCAATTAACACCCTTGTCCTGACGAGGAGGGGTGGGTAGGGGGTGGGATACATGTATAATAGGCAAGACGTTTCGGGTAATGACCTCCGCGTCATGCCGCGCTGCAGAGACATTGTCGTTGTTACGCACAGACTCGACCACGCCCGTCTCATGCGTCGGCTGCGTAAGAGCTCGTGCGTACGTACGTATGTTGGGCTTCTTTCGCGCCGTACATAGCCAAACCGCGCTAATCGGATGCGTCTCGGTCTCAAGCCGAGCGCATGCGTCACACTGAGCACGCGTGGATGCCATGTGGCTGCTGCTGCTGCTGACTATATCGATTCTGATGATAATTGGTTTGGCGCTGCAAATGAAGATGCTGCTACTGTAGCTGATGACGATGCTGCTACTTATGATGCTGATGCTGCTGCTGATAATCTGCCGATGGTGATGATTCTGCTAGTAACGATGCTGCTGCTGATGATGATGATTATGATAATCGGCTGATGGTGAAAGGTTCTGCTAATGTCGACGCTGCTGCTGCTACCGCTGCCGATACGTAACTAATGCCACGCGCCTACCCAATCGCGTGCGACGTCGCCCATTGATAACGCGAGCAAGCTGTCTCGACGTCTTGGCTAAGATTCAATGCTAAAGACCCCCCCATATAGCCTACGCAGACTGTCGGGCCAAGTGCTGTCAGCGAGTAGCACCCATGAAGGCCGGCACGGCACGAGGGGGTGAGTGGCGAGCACCGCACCCGGCCGCCTTTGCATCCCCAGTGGCGCTGTTCACACTTCGCACCGATGTGTGAACATCCCCAGTGGCAATGTTCACACTTCGCACCGATGTGCTCCATTGAGGCTGCGTCGAGCTGGCGCAGGTCCCAGGACCGATTCAGATAATCGTCGCTGGTGTTGACCGTGAGCGAGAATCGAACGCGGGTTCGCCGGGATCGTCTTCACAGCTGCTTGCTAGTAACACTTTCACTAATTGTTTTTTTTGTTATAATATAATTTTATT